GGAATTGAGCATTAAGGCCTGCAGTGTGAACGTAGCCTTATTGTAAACTGTGTTCAAGGTTATTACTCTGTGTAAATAAATGTCAGAAAATCATTTTGATTTATTTTTCCACAACACAATGTCAGTGTGGAGGATGATAAGACCCAAAGATCCAGCACAGTTTTTCCTCACTAATAGTATACATACAGACTTTTTTTTATATTCTTAAATTAATATATCCTAGATTTTGTTTCTACACATCAGTCTGGTATCATGCAGCCAGTAAACAGGACAGGAGCAGACTGCAGCGGACTGTACGGGCAGCAGAAAGGATCATCGGTGCCCCCCTGCCCTCCATCCAGGATCTGTACCTCTCAAGAACCAGGAAACGGGCAGGGAAAATCATCACAGACCCCTCACACCCTGGACACAGACTTTTTGATCTGCTGCCCTCTGGCAGACGGTACAGAAGCCTGCAGACCAGGACCACCCGACATAGGAACAGTTTCTTTCCCCTCGCCATCTCCCTTCTAAACAGTTGACCTGTCACACTGCTCCCACTGCCAGACTGCAACTGCACCTTATGTACATTCTGTAGTATTCATTCCACCTCATTTCATTTCTGTCATCCTGTATTCTATGTATATAAGTTTAGATTGGTTATTTATAGTTGGTTTACACAGCTTTGTGTATGTATGTGTATGCATGTGTAATGTATATATAGACACGTGTGTGTGTGTGTGTGTGTGTGTGTGTGTGTGTGATTTACATTGCTGTGCTTGAGAGCCACCATCTACCGGAACCAAATTCCTTGTATGTGTCTGCACATATACTTGGCCAATAAACACGATTCTGATTCTGATTCCGACAATATTTTCATGGACCGGCCTTTAAGGTGTCGCGGATGAATACAACAAAATAAAACCAGATAATAAAAATGATAAAAACCCTGAAAACCATAAATTTCACACCCGAGCCTCAACTCTCGCGGCCTGATACCAAACAGCCCGGGGGTTGGGGACTGCTGCTTTAGCATACAAGTGAAATCAGATATTTACATACACTTCAGAAAAAAAACAAATACATTTTTTTTATTTACTGTCAAACATCAAAACAGAGTGAACTTTTTTGTTTTGTTTTAGATCAATAAATATTAACATATTTTTTGTATTTGTGTTTAAACATTATTGTGCAGCACATAAGATCAACAGAACACAGTGTGCTTTGAGGTAGGAGCCAAAAAGGGTGTAGTTTGTGGGTGTGAGCACCCGTGTGTACACCTGTGAGTGTCAGACATCTGTAAATCCATCAGCTAATGTTTCTAATGTGGAAAACAGTCAGCAGCAACAGCATTGTTAGGAATACAGTTTCTATATCTATCACCACACATCACGCACAGACTTTGGAGCTGTTTGATCATCAGACTGGCTGCTAGAATTTGCTCTCATACAGCTTTAAGTGCATGTCTAGTGAAATTTCTGCTTATAAAATCTGTAATTTGTTGCTTGTCTATCACAGAACAGCCATGATGTCAATTCTGAGGCAATTTAATTGTGTGCTTTATACTTATCAGTGACCCCTTGAGTAAGACCCATGGTGTGTATATACACTTTGGCTTCAAAGATGTCCTTGGAACATTAAAACCTATCATGAGGGGACAGTGCCTGTGGTTTAACCTGTGAATAAATCCTGGTTTGTTACATTAACTGCCTTTAAGTACCTTTCCAGGTTTGTGGTAACACCAGAAGCAGCCAAGCTACAAGGGACAACTTTTACCCACTCTGAGAACATGTCAATAACCTGGAGCAATACTTTTACCTCCATATGGTATTAGTTCAATGAAATCCATTCATAGTTTATCACAAGGTTTATCTGATCATATTTGTGCTACCTGTAGAGTTTCAATACCTGTACCTGGATAGGTAGTTACACAGGCAATAGAAGAATTACAAAATAACATTTCAGAAAACACTTTAACAAGTCCCCAACAAATTAACAAGTGGCTCTTGACGGAAAGGGATTGTCTGAAATACCGGAAGTGACTCAACGATTAGGCTTACTCCATATTTGTAGTACAGAAAAGTGATTTGTCACGGGGTTTTAAGAAAATACCTGTAGTCACACTTTCACAAGCAGAAGAAAAAGAGACTGAAGGAGCCTCAGAAAGAAGTCAAGGAACAGCCCCAAAATCAGTGCTGTCCTTTCTGATTTGATTTTTATTTTTAAAGAATTATTTTACATTTATGTTTACATCAACAGCTGGTGTGCTTAAGCCACCACACATTCCTTTATATTTTACTAAGGAAATTGGAAATAAGCACAACAATTTATTGAAATGTGTAGTGTAGAACCACCAGAATGCCAAACCTCTGAAAACCACCAGGGGGAGCCCTGTTGATCCCACCCTGCATCATCGGCAGTATTAGCAGTCCTTTCTTAAAGGAGGGGTTAATTTTCACCCCATACTTCTAATTAAAATTACCAGTTACAATTTTAAAAGTATTCAAGATGAATTTTGAGGTGTTTGATTAGTCTGATTTTATCACATTTGTGACATGTATGAAAACTGGACTGAACAGCTAATTGTCTACATTTTAAAACTAACCTCACAGTTGGCTCCAACAAAGTAAGAAACACATTGTAGTAAATTAATTACTGTAAAAGTATGACAAAGTTTATCACACCCTCCACAACTGCTTTCGATCACCAGACCTGCAGCCTCCCTCAGTCTCCAGCCCTTGACCTACAACTTTACCCTTCACTTCATCAACTACTTGGTTTATGCAGATTCTGCGTCCAACAAAACAAGAGAGTCAGCCACATCAGACCCGCATGCAAATGGAAATTACCAGTGTGGCAACTACACTAGGTGTCAAAATACAAGTAAAACTACTAACTACTTTTCTCATCAGCAAACTGGAAAAATGTTTCAGATTAGAAGTCTGATTACTTGTGCATCTACCCATGTTATACATATGATAAGTTACCCGTGTGATCTTGCATATACCATTAAAACTAACAGTGAACATAACCTTCCTGTCGTGTTCGGGTCTCATCTAACTGATTTACAACTTAATACACTTATAAATATTGTGTTTTACATCTGATTGCCTCAAGGCCTTATGACATCCTCCACACTATGCACTTGAACATATTCTGATAAAGTTGTGATAAACATTTAATCTTATAATCACTGAACTATATATTTTGCTCTATAGAAACCAAACTAATATAACAGGGCTGTTGAGGGTGTTGAGACCAAAACTTTAAATCTGTCTTCCAGGTTTATTGACTGTAGATTTTATAGCTCTGATGAATTCTATTAGCACAAAAGAAGAACACTAACTGATCTCTGCCAACAGGTTTCCCACAGCAGCCGTGGATTTCTGTCATTTCTTATGAGATGATCTGACCAAAACCAACCCAGAAGTTGCTCAACATGTAACTGAAGAGTGCTTGAGGTCAAAGCACTTCATAATAGAGAGACTTGATGTCTGTTATGTCACTGATTCATGTTTAAATAATCAGTTGTTCAACTTGTAACACTTTATTTAATCAAGACTCAGTTAAGTGAAGCAAAAGCTCTTCTCATCCATCTAAATTTCCCAAATACTAAAATTGGTTTAGTCTTTGTTTAATTAAGTAGAAAATGCATAAATCTTATCAACTAAGAATATGTTGATAATTCACTGCTGTGTCTGATTTATTAAGTTAATTTTATTTTTTGAAAGATTTTCTCGAACTTATTTTAAGCTAGTTAAGCAACCAATCAATTATTTGGTCAGGTAACAACTCATGAGCTAAAGCACTATTCTGGGAACATTTGTGTGTCTGTGTGTTTAATATTGTGTTCATTTTTTCTGTGTCAGACAAATAGAACTGTGATGTTGCTGTATCTGTGTTATGGTGTTTCAGAAACATTTATGTATAATAAAAAATGTTTTAAGTGAAGTAAGAAATGGAAAAAAGAATCTGGATCTTTTAATATTGCATTTCAAATTTAATACTAAAAAAAATAAAGTTCCAAAACATGTTTCACATTTTTCTTTTTCTGTATGTAAACATATATTCTGTTTCTTTCTTTTCTCATAGATGATATTTTCACTGGGTGTCACATAAATGGACCCAAAAGCAGACACTATGCTCAACAGCCACAAGTTTACAGTGAGTTTATTTGCGACAAAGTAGTGAAAGTTCACGGCGGGAGTTTCACGGGGCAAAGTGGCTGAAATGGGAGAGAGAGTAGAATTAGTCCATGGCGAGGTTTGTGACGACAAGAGATTAAACAGTGAGAATGGGGGTTTGCCTTACTTGTAGCGCGGGGGGGCAGGATAGCTGTGGATCGAGGGCAGGTAGTTAAGGGCAGTTTCCAGCAGGTGAAGAGCCGCAGATGTCCTTACAGGTGGGCGACAGCGTGGGAAGAAACCAGGTGAGGCTTGGATCTGCCGACTAGAGGCGGGCCGCTCTTCAGCAGGGAAGAATAGCTGAGCCCCGATCACCAACACCCGAGTGGATGACACTGGGATTGTCTTTATATATATATTGTTTGTCAATTATTTTAAAACAGTTAACAAATGAAATGAAATGAAAGTAGTAACTGACATCCACACCCCTCTGTTGGGTCATTTTATTTTAAAATATGTTAATATATATATAAGTTATTGTTCTTGCCATGCTTACTATTTAGCTGCAGAAGATACACTGACATGTTTGCAGCTACAAGGCTTATGTAGAATTTTTAAGCCACAAGCTGGCACTGAAATGATCACGCTGATGTATTTTAACTCTGCTGTGCACAAACATTTTCTCATGCGGTTTGTATCTAAGAAGCTAAAATTACTGGAGTATCTGCAGCATCTAAAATAACCATACGCTGAGTAAACTGAGATACTGAGAGGTCTTTAAACATGCTCAGCAGGCCTGTGGTTTTAAACTCTTCTGTGCATGACAAGTTTAACAGCAACCAACAAAGTCAACAGAATAAAAAAGGAAAAAAAATATATAGTAAAAAAAACTGAAGTCGAAGTATTTTTTTTTTTTACAATATTTGCAATCACCTGTCATAGTGTAACTCTTATAATTGTCCAGTTTATTGCACTGTTTTATTATCTAAATGTTAAAACTTCCAGAACATTCTCCATCAGTCATCAATCAGTCATCTTTATATACAGATACCATTTATTTCTGTGTAACACTGAGTTTTCCAAAGTGAAGTAATCCCACTAACAACAGCAGCAGAACCACCATCACAATGGTGAAAATAGTCCTCAACATTAGGAACACGTGGACGGCAGAACAAGAAGATGAGCAGGTCTCTCTGTGAAGTGCTGCAATGATAAAAATACATCTGCTGTAAAACAAATAAGGTTCACCTTTAAATGACAGAATGGGAAAACTGATTGTCTCCACTTAGTTATATTTAGCTACACTCTAAAATTATAATTTATTCTAGCTCTTAATTTCTGATTTAAAATGACTGAATTTGTACCTGTGACAGTCAACAAGCTCTCTGGTGATTCTCCAGTATTAAACATCTTACACTTGTAGAGTCCTTCATCAGACCTGGAAACTTTGTGGATGGTCATCTCTCCTGTGTAGCTGTACCCGATGAGGAAGCCATCTTTATAGAAATCAGCTGTGAAGTTTGAAGTCTTTGTCTTGTTCCTGCAGCGCAGAGTCACATTGTTTCCCACCTCGACAGGGACAACAGGACTCTCTAGGACAACAGAACCAGCTGAAAAACAAGACTTTTTATCTGATACAGAAATCTGTAACATTTCAAACCAAACAAGCAAAACACTGAAATAATAAGTGGAATAATTTTATACTTAACAGCTGCCATGGTAATGAAATTTTGGACTCATTGATAGTCACTAATTTTAATGTTAATTTTTATTAATAGTACATAAGACTGATCAAATACTGCGGCTTGATTCATCAATATTGTGGCAACATTTGAATGGAATCATTATGATTCATTAAAATAATTAAGTTAAATACTGTTTGCAATAAATGATACTAATAATAGTTCTGAATACTATAGTTATAGATACCAATAGAACATTTTTATGTTAGAAAATGTTTCTGAATGACATAAATCTATTCATAATAAAATATTTCAGTCACTCGAGTGTTAAACATACGAGTTATGGTGATGTTGACACTGATGCTTTTCTCTCCTGCTCCAGTCTCACACCAGTATTCGCCGCTGTCTGTTGCATAGGCTCGATGAATCGCACACAGTAGTGTTGGTGAGCTCTCATCACACGCTGAAATGAAGGCCTCAGTATTTCTGATCCCTTTTAACTGAGAAGCTCCATCAAGACCCTCACAGTGAAAGAAGACAGACTCCAGTTCAAAGAACTGCAGTCTTTTTGGGACGATGCGAAACACAGCATCTTAACCAGAAAGAGATCAAATGAAGTTACTGTATAGAGTAAAGGAACAATCAACAATTTCTGTAGTAAACAAAAGTTTGTAGACAAAATCGTGTGATTTAAGACAGAAACTTGCCCAGCTGCTTACCCCTGTTTTCAACATGTGCGGCCAGCAGAATAAATACAGGTAACACTGAAAAATTAAATAAATTATCAGCCAAAGAGTTTGTTACTGCAAATATAAACTCAGTTACAAATGAACTTCTGCACACGACCTCCTGCTGGAATATTTATAAATGATGACATTTTAATCTGTCAGACCTTCAGTGAGTTTAATGCAAACTGTGAACATACTGACAAACATGACAAAGACCAGATTGACAGAAACACTGTAATTAAATAAGTTTCAATGTTAATGCTGTTAAAACCATTTGTGGAAGTTTTATTCAAGTACACAGAAATATGTAAAACCAGAGAACTCACACATTGTGAAGCAGACAGCTGTAACCTTCATGTTGTCCTGCAGCTGAATGTCTGAGCCTGAAATACAGCTGCTCTGTGCTGCAGATGAAAACTTCCTCTTCCTGCAGTTTGAGTTTAATAACATGAAGCCTGACTCACTGTGGTTTTACCAGAGAGCAGGCTGAGGACAAAGAGAGCAGTTAGAAGTTTGATACTGACCATGAACTGCAAAACCAAGTCCAGCTGAAACTATTCTTTACATACAGATGAGTTACAATATATTTGTGTCTTTGTTTTAGGTTTTGAGTATTTATCGCTTCCTTTAAATTCAATCTGCAGATTAAACAGCAGTTTAAGATTAATATCGTGTTTTAATTTGACATTAACAAACAAATTTTACATTTTTTGACCTCTACTGCAGTCTGCACGTCAAAGTGTCCTTAAGAAAGATATTAAACGCCATGTTGCCCAAATGCATCCACCAGAGTGTGAGTGAATGTTAAACTGCTTAAACACCAAGTGCTCTATGAATGTCTGTGTGATTGTATCAATGAGGCTTGTAGTAAAAACAGCTGAGCACTCAGTCAGAGTAAAAAAGACTCTGACTGAGAATGCATCATCCATATTTATTCAAAGTAAAAACTGTATTTATAAATGTCTCACATGTGAAGTCTCTTTAAACCACATACTCTATTGTTTTTATTACATGTGATTAGCTGTTTCCTATATGACACATCAAACATAACAGTTTTCAGCCTTGTTTGTATTCAAACACTGAGTGATGATGAGTCTAAGGACCTGTGACTGACTGGAATCTAGAACACAGGTGAACATTCAATTAGTCTTTTTTATTTTTGCTTCACAAGGTACTTAGAAAGAGTTTTGTTTCCTAGAATTAGTTTTGTTTTGGTTTTTTGCAGCAAACAATAAATCCAGTCACTCTGACCCCGCCTCCCCCTCTTTATTTCATGATTTGGTTTGGTCCAGGTTCTGCTAGCTGATGCTGAGCAGTAAGATGGTAGGATGCTTCTGTTAAAAGTGATAATAGGAGCCTAAGTTTAAAAAGAAAGGGAGATGGGTGGAAATGAAACTCGTAGTGAGGTCCACATGAAAGAAACTGCTTGACTTTGCTAGTATTAGATAGTTCACTTCACTTCTAACAGAAAAGAATGTGTGTTGTGTTATTTTAGCAAACATGTAATTGGTGCAGGCAGACCCTTTGTACGTATACTGTAAGTCTACGAAATCACAGATCAGCCGACCTGCTGCCAGGTCAAACAGATCAAACCTCTTCTTCAGGCTCAGCTGTTCAACTCCCATCTCCATACTCCTGACACTGAACCACTGATACCTGAAGAAGTTGATGAGTTATTGTATGTCAAAAAATGAATAAAAATAATTTTTAGATCTCTGTCTTTGAGCTCCACTAGGTCTCAGGACAGAGACATATTTTTGTTGCTTATACTTTGTTTGAAATTTGATATACAAACAATTGTTTAAGTTATAATTGGCAATACTTGATATTATTTAAAGAAATCTGATAAAGTTATCATTAAAATGATTAAAATGGAAAAAAGTGTCTTGCACATATCTCATCAGTCATACACAAAATCAATAAATCTATGTCTCTTAGCAGAATATTGATCCATGTCGGCAGAGTCTTATATTTTTAGGGCTGGCCTGGTTTGAAAAATTAATAGTGTGGGGCCCAAAATGATATCTTTTGTCACAGGACCCCAAATCCCTGGTGGCACCGCTGCGACACTGAAATGGATAACAGATTGTGGTGGAGGTGTGGTCCCGGGCGCGGCTGCAGGGGAGGAGTGGTGCAGTGAGCTCAACAGGGCGGTGCTGGAGAGGCAGGTGAGAACAGCTGATGGCGTTTGGACTGATGACGGTTTCCTTCCCCCTTTTTAGTGAGACGGGAGAGGAGCGGAGGGGAAGCTGGGAATCAGCTGAGACCAGGGCCCTATTTCAGGAAGCCGGTTTAGTGGAAAAACTGAGTAAGTATACCCTGAGTTAACGAAAACTCTGGTTCTTCGGTTTCACAAAGCGAGTTCAGATGAAGCCTGAGTGAGTCACTATGACGACACACTCCGTGAAGCTAACCTGCCCCCTAGCAGGTTTACT